GTGTGGGTGTGTGTGTGTGTGTGTGTGTGTTTACATCTGAGATCAAATTTGCTACAGTGAAAAACCCCCTGTTGTGAAAAAATTCTTTCTGCAAACATGGTTTCGTTGTAGAGGAGTTTCACTGTAACAATAATAATACATGAAATAGAATACATTTTACAAAGTAATTGTAGCCATTTCTGGGCACCCAAGATCATTTACATCCATCCATCCATTTTCTGATTCACTTATCTTCATGAGGGTCACGGGGCGTGCTGGAGCCTATCCCAGCTGTCTTCGGGCAGTTGGTGGGGGACACCCTGGACTGGTTGCCAGCCAATCGCAGGGCACACAAAGACGAAAACCCATCCATGCTCACAATTCCACTTAGGGACAATTTAGAGCGTTCCATTAACCTTCCACACGTTTTTGAAGAAAACCCACGCAGGAACGGGGAGCACACGCAAACTCCACACAGGAATGCCAGAGCCGGAATCAAATCCTGCATCTCTGCACTGTTTAGGTCATTTCCAACACACTTTAAATAATGACAAAAAATAATGAAACATAAAAGTTAGAGGTTGGCACGTCGGCCTCACAGTGCAGAGGTGCCTGGTTCGCTTCCGGCTCCGGCCTTCCTGTGTGGAGTTTGCATTTTCTCCCCTCTTCTTGAAGGATCTTTCATTCAATGATCTTTGGTGTTTTACATTTTTCGTGGGAACTGAGCAAGGAGAGAGTTACATTCATTTAGATGGGCCAGGGTGTTGATGCTAGTGAGTGTGAGCGATAGAAAGAAGAATAGATTCTAGTGCAATGGTGTTGCCAATGATAAGTGATAAACCTCTATTTTAGATCAGGGCGATATGACTTGGATCAGTATAGAGGGGGCTGAATAACCAATGAAAGGAAGAACCGAATGGAAAGTTGTGTCAAATGCAACTGAGATCAAGGATTATGAAAATTGTTAATCGTCCAGAATCTGAGAATCTGCTGCCTTCAATAAACGTTAGCTAAAGCAGTGTTGTAAATGGAAACTAGACTGGAGTTCTTCATCCCAACATTAGTAAAACTTTAAATATGGACCTGGTAGGCTATTGTTTTTCTTTTTCCAAGGATTTCAGATTATTCATTATTCATTTTAGATGAGGAGATTGTGGAAGTTGTCAAAATTGGATCAGTGTCAAGTTTTTTTAGTGCTGGAGTTATTGCAGCTGTTTTAAGAGCTGATAAAACAAGGCCACTGTTAAGAGAAAAGCTGATGATAGGATGACAGGGATGCTACGATGGCTTTGACCAAGTTGGTGGCCGCTGAGCAGTGGATTAACTTGACAGGTGGAGTGCTTGGATTTTTTTCACGTTATATTGGAATTTGGAAAGGAAGGCAGAATCGGGTGCACTGGATGCAGTGTGGTTGACGAAGGTTCATTTCAGTTTCAGTTTTGCTGTTAAACAATGTCATTTAATTATTGCACTGTGCGGTCGCAAATATGTTCTGTGGTAAGGAAACGTGATGTGAGGATGGCGTTGGTAATGGAGAAAAAAATGTTGATGTCTGCATCGTCAAAGACTTGATGAGGGTAGCGTAGCAAACCGATTTGGGTGTCGCCAGGCCATCTTTCTTGAGGTCCATGCGGTCATACCGGGAAGTTTGTAAATTGTAGCGCGAGAGAAGTCAATCAGGACTGGATTTATTAGTTATTGATGGTGATTAAATTGTCAAGACAGTCAACGAATGGAGAAATGTCAATGTTTTTGACATTCCAGAAGGAGATGATGCATGTTAGATTAGGAAATGGATCAATTAGCCTGAAATAATATCAAGTTGTGGTCCGGTATGGGAAGTTAATCAACGGTACAGTCAAGTGGGTCTACACATGCCAGTAAAAGTGATCCAGGACATTGCTTTGGTTATAGAAAATATTGAGACATAATCTTATGTTGCTTGTAAGTGGGTTTTAGTTGTCATCATGTGTCATAAGTTGGGCATTAGAGAGGTGAAAATTATTACCATAGAAAAGTGAAGATCTCATTACAAAACAAATCTTAACAAATCTGAGGTTTTATTGTAAGGCCATTAGCCAGCCCTACTCAACAGTTAGGCTCCATTGTATTTGGACAACTGTTGAGGACAAATTATCTTGACATTGGATTAAAAAGTTTATTTTTTTGTGTGTGATATTTATAGGTTTGGTTTTCCAACAGAAGAGCAAAGTGGAGAAGAGAAGAAAAGTTGAGAAATCAACGTCGTCAGGTGTCGATCTCCTCCAACCATGTTCCCATCAGCAGCAGTTTTAACACCAGTGTTTACCAATCTTTACCCAAGCCTGCTACACCAGGTACTAACAACCAGTTGCCTTGTTTTGTTTTCTCCCTGTTTGATCTCTTGTCTTTCAAGCAGAACGTGTTCTTCCCTTCTTTTTCTAATTGAATAAAGTAGCTTTTACAGTCTGAATATTTTGCCATCTCAATTTTTAGATTATTTAGTTTGTAGTTGGGCGGCTACTTGGTCGACTGGTGAGCACGTCTGCCTCATAGTGCAGAGGTACCAGGTTCGCTTCCAGCTCCGGCCCTCCCGTATGGAGTTCGCATGCTCCCCCCCCCCCCCCCGGCGCGC